TGCATTAAATTGATCAAAAGTGAAAGTGATTTTTATTTCAAATAAATGCTGTTCTTTTTAACTATAATGTATCATGGTTTCCACAAAAATATGAAGCAGCACAGCTGTTTTTAACATTGATGATAATAAGTTCAGCTTTGTATCACAGAAATAAATGACATTTAAAAATATTTTCAAAATATAAAAATGCTGTTTTTAATTGTAATAATATTCACAATATTATCGTTTTACTGTATTTTTGATCAAATAAAGGCAGTCCCAGTGAGCAAAAGAGACAAATATTATTTTTTTCCTTCATAAATATTAAAAAAATCTTACCAACCTCAACCTTTTGAATGGCAGTGTATAATACATAATCCTCATAATATATGATAATGTGCCTGAATGGTGAAGTGCATCATCCTACCTGACGGTTAAAGATGGGTAGGCTAGTTAGTACAACTGATCAAGATTCTTCTTGTGCCAATCATTTAAGAAATCCACAGATAAAATCAAAACAGACAAATGAAATAATAACTAGGATACAAAGCAATGTTATGTAGTACGTGCAATCTTCAGCACCTGGGTTTAAGTAGACAGCTTGGGCCTTTGAGAAGTTAAAGTAATAACATTTACAGTAGAAACACAATGGCACAGTATTCTTGGAACCATGTAGGTCAAGACTAACTAGAGGTCAAACACGGCGTCCTTCATGTGAAATGTGTGTCATTTTGTGGGGGGAAAAAGAAAATTATTTCATTTTAGGAAAGATCTTTATGAATACAGCACCTCATTTGAAAGCCAAATCGAAGTATAGGCGTAACAATATGTCAATATTGTATCATCATAGCAGTGTCCCCTTTCATGACTTAGCAGGTGATAATATCATATCTAATTTGCATTTTCCTAGAATGGTTACCACCAGCCAATGAGGATGAAGCAGGAAATGCAAAAACAAAGGCATACTATATGTGGAGCATATAAATGTTGCTAACGGCTGTTGATTTATGAGAGTAATTTGTTGCCCAGTTCACATCCTTTACTTGAGATAATGGAAATGAATTACACAGAATGCTTCTCCATAACCACAAATTATGTCCACATATCTGATGCATTTCTCTTGTGTCATTAGGGCATTTCAATTTCAAAAAACAGATCTGATATAAACCAGAAGATATACAAGAGACCTTCCTGTTGATTCCAAACATTAACATTGCATGTACCTGAATATTTAATCCACACGACTGTACACCAGCTTATATACCAGCATAAAATAATAGCGCCAGCTATAGGCCAGTGGTGGTACTGTTCTTCTACAGCAGATATATGACACCAAATAATTATCTTTAAAAAAGCATCATATGACCCCTTTAACAAACCCCTTCTAATTAACCAACATTAATTACAATTCTTACAACTTCTGCATGTTTGAACGTGCTTGGCATGGTTTTATGTATTAAGTTAGTCAATGTTATAGGGAATCCAACTATAAGATTAAGGTTAGTGTTTGGCTATTTTTAACATGTCCAAATGACCAACCAGCACAAAAGTTGGTGTGTTTGCCAGGGTTTCTGAAGGTTTTATGAAGGTAAATGACTTTTTAAGACCAAGTGAAGAAAATTTAGGGAATAAATGAAATGGAACACAATTCGTCGATATGGTTAATTAATGCATTTACATTTTGTATTAGCAACGCTTCAAAGTTTGAGAATAAAACTTTCAACAGATCTCCATTTCATTTTAATTCATTTTACTTTTTTACTGTAGGCTACTCTCTGCTCACACTGCAAAAAAGTGATGTTCTTGATTGTAAAATCAAGATACATTTAGGCTATTTGAGAAGCAATAAGACATAGCCTAAAATAAGTCTTGTCTTTTTAGAAATGTATCTGCTAATGGTGTCAGAAAAATCTGCTTAATTCAAACGGAAAACAAGTTTTTTTACAACCCACTGACTTCTTGTTATGAGCATAAACTCACTTGCATTTTTTCAATTTGCATCTCGTGTAAATGTATCTTGATTTAAGGATGTTTAGATATTTGTATTGGAAAACAAATCAAACATACTGTGGAAGATATACATTTTTGCAATGCATGCATGCAACGTTTAATGGCTTGAATGTAAGACTTTCTGCTCAGATTTAAGACCTTTTTTGGCCTTACTAGTTTGTGGAAGGGAAAATTAAGTCCCGCAGAAGCCCTGGCTTGTTCTGGTGCTTTCTGGAGTAGATGATGCGCTCAAACAGAGATCAGCGATTATCCAACCTGTTTCATCGCCGCTAGCACCGATTACATAAAACCGCCCTAGCCTTCACTATCACTCAACTTTTACTGTGATTCACCATTAAACCGCAAATTGCTGATTGTGCCATTAGTTACTAGCCTACCATCGTTAACAAGAAAAGGCTACCGTTATTCTGGCTAAAATAAGTCCCGGTCTCTACACACTAACCCCAAACATAGCACACAAGTGTAGAATGACTATGTGTATCTTTGTTGCATAAATTACATGCAATCCACATTCATCGCAGTAGAATCAGCAACAAGCCTGGCTAGCTAACATGTTTCGCTGTCATTTAGTCACATTAACATAGTAACGAAGTCTATCTGTTAAAAAGCCAAGCATTATATACAAACGAAACGCAACAACTTCCCCAGACAGATAAACATCGTTAGCAATTGTAATCCCTCGGCGATGCATACTTGTAAATGATGCGATCACGGGCCTGGCGGCTGCAGCTACGCTCCCAGCACACAAAACACAGAGCAATAGTCGCTCAGACAACGCGCCGTTATCTTCTGTATCCACCGTGATAATGAAAATATCAGGCCTGACAACTTTTCAGTGCTTTCTAGCTCATATGTTCACGTTTGTAGCCCCACTTTTCCAACAACATCCGCTGCTGGGAAGGATTTGACGTAAACATGGGAGATGGGAGGTGTGTGAATCCCACTGGCGAGTTTATATAGATCCTACTACGGCCAAGGCTTGGATTATGAATATGAATTAGGTTGACTGAGAGCACGCTCTTGCAAGGTTACCAAGCAACGTCAGCATTGCGTAATTAATATTCATGTATTAAGGCTTCGCCGTAGTAGGAGGCAAGTTTTGCCTCTTTCATTTGATGAGGGTAATTAAACAAAGGGAACACATAAAGAATATTTGTGACCCTGCACCACAAAACCAGTCATAAGGGTCAATTTTTTTTTTTAATTGAGATTTATAGGCTACATCATCTGAAAGCTGTATAAATAAGCTTTCCATTGATGTTTGTTAGGATAGGACCATATTTGGCAGAGATATTTGAAAATCTGAAATCTGAGGGTGCGAAAAAAAATCAAAATATTGAATGAAGTCCAAATGAAGTTCTTGCAACTCATAAGTAGTCATAAGTTTCACGGGTATATTTGTAACAATAGCCAACAATACATTGTATGGGTCAAAATTATACATTTTTCTTTTAAGCCAAAAATCATATTAAGTAAATATTTTGTACATTTCCTACCACAAGTATATCAAAACGTAATTTTTGATTAGTAATATGCATTGCTAAGGACTTAATTTGGACAACTTTAAAGGCGATTTCCTCAGTATGATTGAGATGATTTTATTTTTTTGCACCCTCAGATTCCAGATTTTCAAAGAGTTGTATCTCAGCCAAATATTGTCCTAGCCTAACAAACCACACATCAATGGAGAGCTTATTTATTGCATGTATAACTCTCAATTTTAAAAAAAATGGACCTTTATGACTGGTTTTGTGGTCCAGGGTCACAAATATTCTTTATGTGTTCCCTTTGTTTAATTACCCTCATCAAATGAAAGAGGCAAAACTTGCCTCCTACTACGGCGAAGCCTTAATACATGAATATTAATTACGCAATGCTGACGTTGCTTGGTAACCTTGCAAGAGCGTGCTCTCAGTCAACCTAATTCATATTCATAATCCAAGCCTTGGGCCGTAGTAGGATCTATATAAACTCGCCAGTGGGATTCACACACCTCCCATCTCCCATGTTTACGTCAAATCCTTCCCAGCAACGGATGTTGTTTTTTCCATTTTCCAGCCCCAAGCTGTTTTCAATGTTTACCTACTGTGCAGAGTGCAACACAGAGCAAAAGTGGCATCATTAAATTCACAAATGACACCATTGTAATGACAGTTGGCCACTCAATAGCAATGATGAAACTAAAAAATAAATCAGAAGCAGAACTTACAAAGTGCTGCATCAACAAACCCCTAAAAAAAAAAAAGAAAGAAAAAAAAGTTTGTGCTGCTGTGCAAAGCAGGCTATTGATAATCTCAGAAACCTCAGATTTGCACCAAACAACGGTTATAAAAGTATTCTTCTTCCCCTCTATGGTGTCTGAATTGGAAATTGGATTGGAAAATGGATCGATGTGAACTTTGCAAACACATGGTGTCACTTCTTTCATGTCTGCCACCAAACACTGGTCAGAATGGCATGTGAGGTTCCAGACATACTGTATATTCAGCACATGCAGTCTATTTCACAGGATCCCAGGCCACAGTCCGCATGATCTCTCAGCCTGATGCTGTGGATGAACGCTCACCATTGAAGTCAGGCAGATGTTTCTGGTTTTTGTTGCTGTATCCTGCAATTACCACAAGAGGGCAAAAAATTTTTCGCTGTATGCAAAAAAAAAAAACTGGGCCATTTGTCCGCCTTGGACTCCTTGGAAAATGTTTGGAAAATGTTCAGATTGGTTTTTGTTGTTTTGCATGTTAAATTTCTGTGAAAGCATCAAATTATGACCCAAAAAAAGAACCCTGTGTCAATCAACCCCAAGCCACGTCTACAGATGTTCTGGTTATCTGGATAGGGTAACCACAACTCAGCTCATTTCAAGGATTCAGGTTATTACTAGAGTTAATTTGGTTTCATTTCTGCTTCTGTTTTGCGGCCATCTATTAATGTGAACAGTTCTTGGAGTCAGTCGACTGAAATTACCTCTCAACATATTTTCTGGGCGGGGACGGGGTTTGGTCTTTTTTTTTTTGTTTTGCTTCATTATTGTGTGCTCAAAGCACAGCTATTCAGTCACAGACTGTACAGTAAGAGTTTCTGTCAGAGAGTTGGGCCTTATTTCCAACATTTTCTGTTCAATTGCTTTTCCTTGAGCACAATGAATATGCTTCAACTTTTCTTTGGATTTGTTTATCTCTCGGCAGTTTCACAGCTTGTGAGTCTCACAGGTTCGTATGCTGAAGCGCAAACTTTCTTTATATGGAATGAGCCTAGATACGTTTTTAGCTTTTGCTTTCTTTGAGATTAAATGATTTTATACAACATTTCGTTCTGGTTCTCAAATCTGATTGGTTGAGAACCGTGCGATATTGTACTGGTATCGCTACAGGAACGCACTTTCACAATTTTGTATCACTCCGCTTGTTCTAGCCGGGTCTATATTTTTTTTAATTATTTAATTATATATTTTTAAATATATTTATGAGTTAATCGTAGAGTACGTTAGTTAATATAATAAGAAACGTCTAGCTTCGCGGTCTCTCTCTCTCTCATTAGATGCACGTCTTGCCGCATTGTTTCTCTCTTATAACCTCATTATTTCTCTCTTATAACCTCATTATTTCTCTCTTATAACCTCATTATTTCTCTCTTATAACCTCATTATTTCTCTCTTATAACCTCATTATTTCTCTCTTATAACCTCATTATTTCTCTCTTATAACCTCATTATTTCTCTCTTATAACCTCATTATTTCTCTCTTATAACCTCATTATTTCTCTCTTATAACCTCATTATTTCTCACTAATAACCTAACTGAAGCAGCACATGCCCTTGATACGAATTCTAAAAGTGTCGCATGTTTAACTGTCAACTTCAGCTTTGAATCCGTGGCGGAAGGAAGTAGTTCCGCACAAAAGAGGGTTTTATTAGGCACTCCGTTGTTTCTTGTTTAATTACACACATGTTCCGTCGAACTGTTGTATAAACGCAATATCACTCGAGTACTCGAGCGATACGGGCTCTATATCAGCGGCCTCGTGCCTCTGGCCTAATCACAGCCATGCTGATATAGAGCCGGTATCGCTCGAGTACGAGAGTGATATTGCTCATATAACTTAGTCTTTTTTTTATTAGGACCAATGTTTGGAGTGTTGAATTAATTTCTATTCAGTTGACATGTTTGAGCTTGGACCAACACTGCCAAATGTTGTCTTGCTACTGCATTTATCAGTACAGTTTTTTGTTACATATGATTATGACAATAGATGGACTTCTACAGCAACCAAAAACAAAATGTTATCTGCCCAGCTCTATAAAATACAAAGCTCTAGATGCACGCAGTGGTCAGTTTGTAAGTCTTAAGGACTCATGGTACTGTAGGTTATTTTTGTGTCTGCTTGTAATCTGATACTTCAGTGCTGCTATTCTGTGCTGTAACTTCACCAGTTTTAAATCGCATCCTTCTCAATGTGTTTAACAGGTGCACAAGCTGAATGTCCTGTTCAGCTCAACCCACAGAGAGTTGTTGTGAGATACGGCGGTTCTGTTGCAGCTAACTGTAGCACTTCAGTCCCGCATAAAGGGATGGGATGGGAAGCCAGTGAGGGAGCAGTGCCCATGACCAAAAACCAGAGTCTGATCACATGGAGAGTGCCAGAACTGACAGAATGGGACATAAAGCCATTCTGCTACATAAACTATAAAATAGGCAATGAGGATCAGTGTAAAGAAGAGCTCCCAGTCACTGTTTACAGTCAGTTTCTCTGTTACTGATATTTTTTCTGTTCATTCTCAGAAATATCTAATAAATGTACATTCATCATTCATCACAGCAGATTTCAGAGTGTGTAAATCTTCCTCCACAGAGACTCCAGACAGTGTGTCCATCAGCACTGTGAATCACAGCGGACCAATGATGGAGGGAGAGCTGTATGAGCTCCAGTGTGACGTTCACAATGTGGCTCCTGTTCAGAATCTCACTGTCAACTGGTACAAAGGACAGACTCTGCTGGATCAAACCACCTTCACTGACACTAGCGAGACTCCAGTGAATGAAACTGTCAGACTCCTGATCCGTCCAGACAGAGCTGATGAGGGAGCTCAATACAGGGGTGAAGCAGAGCTGGATCTGGGAGCAGAAGGACCTCAACCTCATCCTACAATTTCATCAAATCCTCTTAATGTTGAAGTATACTGTAAGTTTATTATTGCTAAGCTAGCCATATAATTCAGTTTATATTTTCTTTAGGGCCTTCTAGTGTGACGGATGTGCAACTGTCATATTTCATCACACTCAGAGATTTCCATATTAATTGAGATAATTTGATCAAATATTAGATATGAATTGAATGAACTCAGATAAAAAGGTTTCAGTTGTGCAGTATTTTTAGTGATCTGTTACTAACAGCTGCTCATCATGTTGCTGTTGTGCTGAGAAATGTATCCCTGTCCTCCTCAGATAAACCACAACACTCCAGTTCAACAGAGACCATCATTAAAGACGACAAGGTCATGCTAGATTGTACAGTGAAGGCAAAACCAGCTGCTACATACACATGGGATCATCTGAAAGAGAAGAACAGCTCCTCAGTGCTCAAGTCCTCAGCACTCAGTTCAGGAAACTACACATGCACCGCCACAAACGCTCTGGGAAAAGACAGCAAAGTGTTCATCGTCAAATCTACAGGTGGGTTATGAATGAAAATATCATATCATCTGATTTTTGTAAAATGCAAAATTTCATTAATTATTATTTTGTTTATATTTGAATAAGATTTCATGAATGTTAATTTAAACATTTCAAATTTGCATTATGTATTCTTTTTTTTTTTTTAATGTGTGTATTATTTTGCTCTCATTAATAATGAGTGCACATATGAGACATTATCTGATGACTTGAATACTTTGTGCATATTTATGTTTTTGTTTTTTTCTAAATGTTGGTTTGGGTGTTTCTTATTTTATACATCGTGTTTGATTTCTGGGTGTAAAACCAGAGTCACTCTTTTGTACACTCTTAAAAATAAAGGTTCTTTGTTGACATCTATGGATTCACAAAGAACCTTTAACATCCATGGAATCTTTCCATTCCACTAAAGGTTCTTTCTGGAAAATGTTTCTTTAGATTATTAAAATATTCTTTACAAAAACAGTTCAGTTTCAGTTTTAAGAACTTTTGGGGAACCAAGAATAGTTCTTCTATGGCACCATCAGGAACCCCCCCTTTTGGAACCTGTATTTTTAAAGAGTGCATCTGTAGACAGGGATTCAGCATTGAAAACACTTGAATGTTTAAATTACGTCATTAACACAGCTTTTCTTCCACAGGTATTCGTCCCACATTCTGGACTGTTCTTACTTTTTTCCAGTTGTCGGTTGCATTGATTACTATCATGTAATTAATAGTCGCACAACAGAGATAATTAGTCACAGTATTGTATTTTCTTTCTTTCTACTCTGCTGGGAATTCATAAAAATGTGTTGACTTGTAGTGGTTCATCAGTCATACATATGAAGTCAGTGGGAACCACTACAACACATCACTTTTATTTATAAATAAACTCCTGCCTTTAGATGTTAGCATGAAATTAACATCTGACAATAACTGGAAAGTGTATTTTCACGAATGTTCATTTGGATTTTGTACTTTTTTACTGTTCTCCTAAGCTTTTCCTCATTGCTGTATGACAAATTCATTTTACAGAACAAATATTCCATTTTGTCTCTTAATTAATATGAGGGTATATAAAGTTGCAAGTTTGAAAACATTACAATATTGCATTAGTAATATAGTATATGGTTTGCCACCCTGTAACACGGCATTTAGAAAGTATTTAGCATATATGTATATTCATTGCACAGAGCAGCTTTTAAAATTCTTCTGTATTCGGTGTGAATGTGAGCTGAGCACAAGATGAGCACTCGGACTGCACAGGGCGTCAACTACCAAGGGGAACATCTCATTTCCCTCGGCCCCCACCTCCAAAAACTTTTCCCCCCGATGTACATCCTTTTGGCTAGCGGATGCCCTTTAGGATGTTTTGGAAAACACAAGAAAATTTATTTTGAGTGGTTGAACAGCAGCAAAATAAATGTTGACTTCTTTGGCTTTGATTTCCTTCTCATTTTATTTTCTCATTTTGCTCAGTTTCAGTTTGTTAGGGGAAATGTGCTTGATAAGTATCAGTGGAAACTGTGACAGGGTGGAGTCAAAATGACTCAAAGTGTTATATGTTTAGAAGAAGGTGTTAACCTTCAACCAGAGTGTGAATTTGCCATATATCACAATACTTGTGGGTGGGCTCTTTTGACTTGGGCCAGTAAACAACCACCCTGAACACCTGAGCCTAAAACAAACCTAGTTTAATTTATAATGTGTCAATATTAAAAACCTGAACAAATTACTAGCATCTGGATAGCTACATGAATGTCAAGAATCTGTCCCACTTTATATTAGGTGGCCTTAACTACTATGTACTTACATAAAACAAGTACACTATAGTTATGTTCATATTGTATTGCAAAACACTTTTGCTGCTATTGAGGTGGGATAGGGGTAAGGTTAGGGACAGGTTTGGTGGTATAGGTAGGTTTAAGGGTGGGTTAAGCTGTCAGGGATGGGTCAACAGTGTAATTATAAATGTAATTACAGAAATTAATTACAGATGTAATTACATGCAGGCTACACAATTTAGCAAAATCAGACAATATTGTGTCTAATATAAACCACAATATTAACTTCTTATTATTGAATAGTTGTAAATAAATATCACATTTGGAACTGGTCAGTGCTCAAAAAATGCTGGGAAATCACTTCATGTAGCCCCAAGAGGGATTACTGATAAACAGTCTGAAGAAAAGAAAAAAAATCACCCACTGACTTTCAAAGCTGTTAACGACTTTCTACTTCGAGGACCTTGATAGAAATGTAGTGGAGTGAAAAGTACAGTATTTGTCTTTCAAATGTAGTGAAGTTAAAGTCACAAGTTTCCAGAAAAAATAATACTCAAGTAAAGTACCGATATTCAAAAAGTGTACTTAAGTACAATACTCAAGTAAATGTACTTAGTTACTGTCCGCCTCTGCATGCAGGTATTTTTTTAAATATAAGTACAACGTAAAAACATGTAGTGCATTGTACCAAATGATTAATTTAAGTGTAAGTACATAGTAAAGGCCAATATAAAGTACCTAATATAAAGTGGGACCCATGAATCTTTCAAGTCACTGGGGTGTGTATCACACCCAAGGAAGTAGGGAAACACATCAATTCTAATCCTTATGTTTTTTTTTAAATGAAGTCTTCTTTGTGTCTCTTTTGTGTGTTTAACACAGTGACCTGTGCGACTTCAGTCTGCCAAAAACTCTGTGAGTGAGTGTTGGCATAGCAACCTCACTGCAGTGAAGCATTTTAAGACAGCTATAGCTGGAGCTCAGTAGCTCTTAACTCATATAAGCTCATTTAAAAATTAACGAGATGGTATGCGTAAACAGTGAAATAATGAAAATTAAATGTGCACAATCAGTTAAAATACAGTTTATGTGTGATGCATGCGGCGATCCACAAAAACAATAAGCATGAGCAATTTAACTATTTATTGCAATTAGCAACTACAAGTTGAAAGACAAATACGATTATAAAATTAAAGAGACATTCTAACGTGGTAATGCTTCAGTACGCTAGACTCAAATGTGATATAAAAAAGACAGTTTCACAAGATACATCGCAGAGGATGAGAAATACTGAGGTGCGAGAAGAGGGAGAGCTGATTGTAATGAGGCCCACTACTTCAATCCCCCTCCAGGCCCTTCAGTACAAGGCTTTTGTTGGCTGTCACTGTTCAGTTTTTAGTTGCCAAGCAAGACCAAGTCGGAATTTCTTTCTCCTCTGTGTGCGGACTATAGCAGATTTCAACCATTTTCATCAAAATGAAAAACAATCTCCTTTGCTTTCTCGGTCTGTCCGTTATCGGAATAGGTAAGATGTTTCTCTGTGAAAATAACGCTAGTTGTTTAGTAATATTTCAGGTTAAGTTAAGAGTAAACAGTTATGAGGTGCATATCTGTTTACACTTACCAACTTCCAATGAAAACCTATTGAACTTAACTGTAATATTTCTGGAAGTTTGTAAAGTTCATTCAAAACTTTTTTACATAAAAGTATTTCTTAGAAGAAATAAACTTTGGCTTACTGCGTAATAATTGTTTTCAAATAGCATTTACATTTTCTATATATGGCATATTACACTCTAAAAAATGCTGGGTTGTTTCAACCCAACTTTGGGTCAAATATGGACTAACCCAACTTTTGGGTGAAAAATTGAATGTAAAAATTGAACCCAACTGCTGGGTTAGTCCATATTTGACCCAAAGTTGGGTTGAAACAGCCCAGCATTTTGTGATATTGTTGATTCTGATTCACACCTCCTTCAGTGTCAGCTGACAGTTGCTCGCTAGAGATATCTCCCTCCAGAGTAGTGGTGAAATTTGGGGATCCGGTGTCGGTCAGCTGTGTGGCCTCTCGTCCAGTGCGTGTGCTGGGATGGGAATCGGTCATTGCTGCATCGCACACTCAGAATGACCTCAGTGTTCAGTGGCGGGTGGACAGTTTGACTTACTGGATTGAGGAGCCAATCTGCTATGGTGTTTTTTTCACTGCACCCAGACAGTGTGAGGAAAGACTCAACCTTGTTCTATACAGTAAGTACAGTATTTAAAATGATCTTCTGAAGAAAAAAAATCAGCGTAGACTAGCTGCATCTAGCTTCAAATGACCAGCTTAATGTCAATCCATTTAAAAGGAGTAAACGTTGTCATTACTCATTCGCAACACACCACAAACATACACTCTAAAAAATGCTGGGTTAAATACAACCCAGTGCTAGGTGAAATATGGACAAACCCAGCAATTGGGTTGTTTTGACCCAGCATTTTTTAGAGTGTAGTGAAATTTAAAAATAACACTTAGTATCGATAACACTTTAGTATATGGATCAATTCTCACTATTAATTAGCTGCTTTTTAGCATGCCTATTATTAACATATTGGCTGTTTATTAATACTTATAAAGCACATATTCTGCATGACCATATTCTGCATCCCTAATCCTACCCAATACCTAAACTTAACAACTACCTTACTAACTATTAATAAGCAGCAAATTATGAGTTTATTGAGGCACAAGTCGTAGTTAATGATATGTTAGTAGCGAGAATTGGACCAAACGCAGATTATCCATTCTTAAAGACTGATTTTCACATGGTTTCTTACATATTATACGTTTTGGCATTTAATCACTTAACCAAGCTCATATGTGTGGTTTTCTGGCTTGGTGAAATTGTTTGGTAGGTCACCTGGTATAGCATTGCATTTGCGATAAGAGTCTCATGAAACACAAGGCATGTGACTTGTAGAAGCAAGCTAAGATGGCATGGTTGCTTCAGCAAATGTGTCTGTTTCTCTTCTCACGCTTTCTTTTGTTAACAATATTGGTTAGCTTTATGGTAGGGTTTAGGGTGTATGTGATAGAGCATATTAACGGTTCAGCACCACTCACCAGACATATCATTTCTGAACTGTCGTGAAACATAAAACAACCAAAGTGATAAAGCACTTCCAGATTAAAGTTCATCTGTTTCGGATAAAACGGAACTTTTAGTGCCACTCAATGCACATTTTACTTTGAAAATGTTACGAAAAATGCAACAAGCAATGTAATGTGCCACAATGAGTCTGTGTGGCAGCATTTTTAAATTAACATAAGCAGAATTTAAATTTCAATAGATTTGGTGAAGAAAAAGATCATCAAGGAATAATGAGGGTGAGTAAACAATGACACAGTTGTCATTTTGGTGCAAACTATACTTTTGATTACCAAGTGGCTTTTAACATGGTTACACTGGTAAAACAGGTCGACCTGCAACAATAACCAGCTTGTGCCAGAAACAGACCAGCACTAACCATCTAAAACAAAACCACTTTGGTATTTAAGCTGGTCCAAACTGGTCTAAACTAATATGTTTTGTTATGAAAATCTCCATTAAATGCCTTTGTTTAAATTCGCAATTGTCTTCACGCAGACAAACCAGACAGTGTGTCCATAAGTTTAGTGAATCACAGCAGTCCAGTGGTGGAAGGAAGAGAGTACCAGCTACAGTGTGAGGTGCAGAACGTCGCACCTGTCCAGTACCTTGTTTTACGATGGTACAGAGGAAAAACTGAGGTTTACAACCACTCGTTCTCGGAGTTATCCCCTGCAACACCGGTCCAGGTGTCCTCCACCTTGCTGATTGTCCCAAACAGAGCTGATGATGGAGCTCAATACAGGTGTGAAGCACAGCTGGAACTGGGAGCAGAAGGACCTCAACCTCCTCCAACAGTTCAGTCTGAAGTTCTCAACATTGCTGTTCAATGTAGGTGAATAAAGTCAACAATACCCAATAGTGAAGACATTTTATAGCTATTAATGTTAAATATTTGTTAATTTTTTTTCCATCAGACCCGCCGGTCTTCCGCAGTCCAGAGGAAGAGATACTGGACATCAGTGAGGATAGTGAAACGGTGCTGGATTGTACTGCGGAGGGTAACCCACCTCCTGTGTATGTCTGGACCTCCTCAAACCTTCAGGAGAAGGCTGATCAGCCTGTTTTGAGAGCTGCAACTTTGAGCCCAGGAGTATATACATGCATTGCGTCCAATATCCTGGGGAAAAAGAGCAAACAGTTTGTCATCAAGCACAAATCCAAAGGTGAGAGCAATAAAACACTAGAAATGTAAATATTAATGCATTTTCTTTGTCTTTTGAATCAAGGCAACATGATGCACTTAGTTACTTGAGTTCTCTCTTAAAGGGATAGTTCACCCAAAAATGAAAATTCTGTCATTAATTACTCACCCTCATGTCGTTCCAAACCTGTAAGACCTCCATTCATCTTCGGAACACAAATTAAGATATTTTTGTTGAATTCTGAGAGCTGTCTGACCCTCCCATAGACAGCAATGTAATTACCACGATCAGGGTTCAGAAACGTAGCAAGGACATCGGTAAAATAATCCATGTGACATCAGGGGTTCAGCCGTAATTTTACGAAGCTACAAGAA